ATTATTGCTCCATGTTGTTGTCGCTCCTGCTAACCGTGGTAGATGATGAAGATCATGATGAAGATGATGATCATTATCATGATCAATCGAATGACAATGACGATGATGATGATAATGGCAATAATGATTATGACGATGAGGATGATGACGAGGATGATGATGACGCTGATGACAATGTCAATTTGAATGATGATAATGATAACTCGGGTGATTACATGGATGATGATGAGCATTGGGATGGAGATTCGGATGATGATGATAATGATGATGATGATGATGTTCATAATGATTTGGATGATGAAGATGTTGATGTTGAACATGATGTTGATCACGATGATGAATGATGATATTGATGACCCTGACGATTACGATGACCATTATGATCATGATTTGCATAAAGATTCAGATGAGGATTCGGATGAAGATGATGATGACAATGATGATGATGATGACGAAGATGATGACGATGAGGAAGGTGATAATGACGATGGACATGTTGATGATGCTGATGAAGATGATGATGACGTTTCGGGTGATGACGATGAGGACGAAGATGCTGATGCTGATGACGATGAATTTTATTTTTTTTTTATTACACACCCAGGTGTGATGAAAGGCAGACGGGGTAAACATCACAGTCTCGAAAACCTGCTATTCAGTGGTTGAAATCGGCAACCAAAGGCGCAGAACATGGAGTGACGAAACACATAAGACCCTGAGGGGTTAACCTTGATGATGATGATGATGATGATGATAATGATGATGATGATGATGATGATGATCATGAAGATGATGATGATTAGCATGATCATGATTCTGCTTCGGACGATGACGATGAGCAAGTTGATTCCGATGATGAATCGGATGACGATGAGTATGATTATGTTGATGACGGTGATGATGATTCGGATGATAACGGTGACGATAATGATTTTCGTGAAGGTGACAATCTTGACGGTGCTGATCATGATCATATGGATGAAGTTGCTGCCGCTGCTGCTACTGATGATGATGATGATGATGATAATAATAATAACGTTGATGTTGGATCGGATGTTAATGAAGATGAAGACGATGATGAAGATTCGGATAATGTTTCGGATGAATTTGATGAACATGATGATGACGTTCATGATGAGGAAGACGATGAAGCCGATAATGATGATGATGATGATAATGATGATGATGACGGTGATTTGGATGAATCTGATGAGGACGACAGTCAGCATGATGACCCGGAAGATGATGATGACGATGCTACGGTTGATGATGTTGATCATGATGATTCCCTTGATGATGAAGATGATGATTCCGATGATTTCGGTGCTGATGATTATTATTATGTTGATGAATTTGGGGCGGTGATCATGAGAATGATATTTCGTAGGATGACTGTTATAATGATCATGATTATGATGATGATTGGGGTATGAAAATGATTATCATGACTCGGATGATTAATTGTATGACCATGATCCTGATGATGATTTTTCGAATCTTCTTTATGATGATGAGGACGACGATGAAGAGGATGATGATGATGATGATGATATTGATGACGATGATGAGGAGGATGATGAGGATTCGGATGATGATCGCTAATTCGGATGTTCATGATGATGAAGACGATATTGATGCTGATGATGATTCGGATGATGAAAATGGGCATTGAGGATTCGGATGATAACGATGACGATGACGATTCCAATTACTATTCCTATGATGATGTCGCCGATAATTCGGTTCATGATTCGGATGATGATGTTGATGATAGTGATGATTCGGATGATGACGTTTCGCATATTGAAGATGATGATGATTCAGATGATTATAATGATGATTATGATGATGTTCACGATGATAATGATGATACGGATGATGAAGATGATCATGGTCATGATCATGCTCATGATGATGAATCTTATGATGATGGCTGATGACGGTTTAGATGATGCTACAAACGATGATGATGATTATGATGACAATTCTTCGGATGAATATGATGAGAACGATGATTAGGATGATGATTCGGATGATGACGACGATGATGATGATGCTCCGGATGATGATCTTGATGTTGATGATTCACATGATGATGATGGTGATGATTGGGATGATTATTCGGATGATGATCCTGGTGATGTTGATGATGATGGTGATGATGATGATGATGATGATGATGATGATGATGATGATGATGATGATGATGATGATTGTTCTTCTTATAGTGATGTCGATGGTGCAAATGAGAGGTTGAACTGTGTGCACACAGTTCGAGTTCAAGAAATTTCGAGGCTATGTTTGAAGGACTTAGTATTGTGTAAAGTTGCGCAATGTGATAAGAAGATAGTTTCGCGTGTATTGGAAATAAAGAAAACGATGGATTCGTTTCCACATAATTTTCGATATTTGATAGGTCATCGATTCCCTTCTCTCGAAAATCGTGATTCGGATTTGTTTTTCAGCTGCTACTGTTTTTAGGAAGGTTATGATTTAAGGAAAAAAACGTTCTAGTCGGAATTTCTGTACCCTTAATATGTTTTTTCTACCTTTAAGTCAAACTGTATCGTTTATTTTCTTTGGATTTCGCTGCGCCAATTGTTATTTGTTGATGTCAATAGGGTGAGATTGCGTCATTTTAAGTTTCTATCTACACCAGTAGCATTATATCTCTGTCCATTTTCTTTTCGCCTTTTTCTATTTCATTCAGGTGATTTGATGTATTTGGATGAAAAATGCTATTTGTATTTCGCCGATCGTCTGGGCGACACATTCCGTTGGCGTGGGGAAAATGTGTCCACTTCGGAAGTGGAATCTGTCGTGAATTTAGTGGTGACAAATCAAAGTAATGTGGTTTACGGTGTAAACGTCCCAGGTATTGAAGGTCGCGCGGGCATGCTAGCTCTGGCTGTGAACTGGAATGAACTGAGCGAAGAAAAGGAGTCTATTTTGATTGACAATTTGACAAAAGCATTCAATAGTCAACTTCCCAGTTATGCCCGCCCAGTATTTATCCGGCTAAGAGGGGAATTGGACACAACTGGTAAGATCGTCTATTAAAATTTAGTTTTGTTACACCACTAACTAATGATTTGCCGTCAAATGTAAAACGGAACAAGATTTTCGAATGATATTGAAACGGACTACCGTGAAGTTCTTCGCTGCCTTGGTTGTATCGCAGTGAAAGATTACAAATGCATAGCTTATGGTTCGCGTAAGACAGTGACTCAAACCACTTGAGCAGACTTTCAATTTGAATTGTATATGATTGCCTTCTGCTAGAGGATGGACGATCCATTAATCACTGTGGTCTATGGAGAGTCTCGGGAGGAGGATTATCGGCGGTGCCTCCAGCAACGTTTTACTTTCAGTTGGTATCCCGAGCCTCTGCACACACGAAAAAAAGGTCGCAACGTTCACTCACATTTCCGGCAATCACTGATGATGTGGTTGCGTAATCAATACGCAGTACCATATTCAGCTTATAGTCTCATTATTTATGGCTGAATTGACGATAAAAACATCTTTCTAGCTGGGTTATAGTCGATAACCAACAATCGTATTTGAATCAGCCAATGGATACCGTTCTTCACCATCTGGTAGGAAATCAATAGGTTTGATATCAAGGAAATCCTCCTGGAAAATGAGGCATATTCTTGTATGCCAAAATTATCAAGTAGGACATTGGTGCAACCTGATTGGATATTGATTCCAGGACAACTTGAGGTGTCCCAGCGTGCGTCCACCACTAAGCCTAGAAGTTATATTGCTTGATACTCTGCACCTAACCCTTTGCTAACTTAGTTAACTTAGTTCACCCCTCTGATCCAATAAACACATCTACCTATCTTATAATTAAGGTATAAATTGACGCCTTAATCTTCGAATTTTAATAAAAATTTGCAAATATCAAACTTCGCTGTATCCCTTTCCGATAAACAGGGTACGCATCAACTGATATGTTTTCCTATCATCTTTTAAGATTAAATCCAACGACTGTTCCGGTCATGCTCGATTGCTTTCTGGCCGACTCTAACGGCACCGTTTCCTATTCATTCTTAACAGCTTCTTTCAGGCTCTTGGGGCTTGTAATATACGCAAGCATACTACCAACTCAACCATCTTGCAAGTGACTGGATTGATTTCCTCTACATATACAAGGTATAGCATAACCAATTATTGTGAGCTTATTGCGAGCATTAATCCTGAGGCACTTCAGCACTAGGTTGATGTTGCGGTTTTCAATCGATTTTTCAGATTCCAGCCTGAGGAGAAATATCGTTGCGTTCTACTTGTGAGGTCACGTGCTAGATCTTTAATTGGGTCCATAATTCCGCAATGTTAACTTGATCCATTCAGGTCAAAACACCTGTACAGTGCTTACTAATTTTTCAGCTTACGCTCCATTTGCTCTGTATACGAAGAAATGTATTATTAAATTGCATCAAATTCTCTACCACTCCCAAGTAGTGTATGGTGTTTACTGTTAGCCCTGTTCAAACAATATGCTTGCATCTCAGCAATAAAATTAGTAGTGTTGCACAAAGATAATTTACGCTTCTTGTTTTAAAAATCATGACTCATTACACCCATTCTTCTCCACTCTCAGATATCTCTTCCACTCTTTATCATACAGAATCTCATGCTATCAGTATTAATTTACGCGTTTATGTTTATTTTATCTCAATAAATAAAGTAATACCTGTTG